ACCAAAAAGGCTTGAGATTCATCATATTATTAATTATTATTATTGTTGTTAATTATACTTACTACTTTTCCTCTTGGGAGCACCAGCTTAATCTGAGATACTTAGAAAGGTTGGGGACATTCTTAGTTTCAACACCCTTTTGATTATTCCTCTACACATACCCACACCCGCACACCCCTATAGACTTAATCTTTTGTGCTTTAAATATTTTCCCCTCAAAACCTTGGAACTGCTGATTAGCCAGTTCATTTTATGGAACATTTACACCATGCCTAATTGGCAAAATTAGCCCTGGTTGTTACCCTAATCAGCCAAATCAGACATAATTTCTATTAAAACGGGGCTGGAAGAAATTATAGAAATTACACTCTGCGTTTGTTTTGCAACGGGCAAGCCATACAAATCCACTCTGGAGGTTTAGGGAAGCTGAGACGTTAAAGAAAGAGGGTGAGAAATTTAGTTCCTAAGAAAGAAACACTGAAGCTGGCACAGTGGCTCTCGCTTGTAATCCCAAAACTTTGGGAGGCTGAGACAGGAAGATTGCTTGAGCACAGGCGTTCGAAACCAGCCTGAGCAATGTGGGGAAACCCTGTCTCTACAAAAAAATTTTAAAAATTAGCCAGATGTGGTGGCACGTGCCTGTAGTCCCAGCTACTCGGGAGGCTGAGGTGGGCAGGTTGCTGTGTCCAGAGGTTCTTGGGCAGCAGGGAGCTACGATTGTGCCACTGCACCCCAGTCTGGGAGACAGAGGGAGACCCTGTCTCAATAAAACAAAACAAATCAGAAATAAACATCTAATAGAGACTCATGGGCAGAAGCCGTGATGTCCCGGGCAGCAGCGGGAGGAGATGGTGGATCCCTATGCCCTCACCCCCAGATACAGGCCTTGTCCACCACAGGGAAGCATTGTGTGGAACACCTGCAGGGAAAGGCAAGAACCCCATGTGAACCTGTCTCTGTGGGATCTGTGGTGAGCACATGTTCTTGGACAAGGAACCGCAGATAGCATAGAAATCTTAGAGGCAGCCCAGAACGGGGGTGAATCACAGGTCAACATGGCAGATCAGCATCCAAGATGGTGGCCTCCAGCATCCAAGATGGCCTCCGTCTTGCACGGAGCAGCATCTCTGGGACATAATTACTTCCCAGTCATCAGTCAAAGACAGATACACACAGAACCTTGCCATGAATTGGATGCTTGAATGAAATACGGGGTCTCCCTCCATTTCCAATGTTTCTTGTTGACTCTCTGCTTTGCCCAAAGGGACTGACGGCGTGCAGGAAATGCCACCCCAAACTCTGGTACCTTGGCATACTGTGTGTTTTAAGCTCCAGGAAACTGAGAAAACAGCAGAGGCAAAGGGCTCTCTGGCCTTCCCTCAGCCTTTTCTGCCCTGAAGCAAGCCACAGAAATTATTTACTTTTTATTACTTTATTTATTTATTTATTTTTGAGATGGAGTCTCACTCCATCTCCAGGCCGGAGTGCAGTGGCACGATCTCGGCTCACTGCAACTTCCGCCTGCCACGTTCAAGTGATTCTCCTGCCTCAGCCTCCCAAGTAGCTGGTATTACAGGCACCTGCCACCACACTGCCTAATTTTGGTATTTTTAGTAGAGACAGGGTTTCACCATATCGGTCAGGTTGGTCTTGAACTCTTGTCCTCAGGTAATCCACCTGCCTCGGCCTCCCAAAGTGCTGGGATTACAGACGTGAGCCACCACAACCGGCCCCTTTCCTCTTTTTAATTTTTGTAAAGATGAGGTCATGCTACATTGCCAAGGCTGATCTCGAACTCCTGGCCTCCAGCGATCCTCCAGCCTTGGTCTTGTGAAGCGCTGGGATTATAGGTGTGAGCCCCCATGCTCAGCCACCCTTGGAAAATCTTGTAGATTTATATTGTTAAATATAATCACGTCTTAAAATTTCTCAAGATGAGGAGCTGTTTTTCTCATTTCGCTTAACGAAATATAATTTTACTTAAAAATAAGCATCTGTCAGGCCAGGCGCGGTGGCTCAAGCCTGTAATCCCAGCACTTTGGGAGGCCGAGGCGGGTGGATCACGAGGTCAAGAGATCGAGACCATCCTGGTCAACATGCTGAAACCCCGTCTCTACTAAAAATACTAAAAATTAGCTGGGCATGGTGGCGCGTGCCTGTAATCCCAGCTACTCAGGAGGCTGAGGCAGGAGAATTGCCTGAACCCAGGAGGCAGAGGTTGTGGTGCGCCGAGATCGCGCCATTGCACTCCAGCCTGGGTAACAAGAGCAAAACTCCGTCTCAAAAAAAAAAAAAAAAAAAAAAAAAAAAGCATCTGTCAAAGTTTTGTTTTTCAGATAATTTATTGTTAAATGGAGAAGTCGCAAAGCGAAAGGGAGCGTAACAGGTGTCAAAGGTCAACTGCAAACATCGCGTCTGTCAAACGCTTTCTGGTTGCCTAAGGTCAGAAACAGGGAAACCGTCAAACAGAAAGGTATTCGCTCAAATTAAAGTCTTTTTAAAAGGTCTGTAGTTTGAAAGGAAAACAACTTTTCGCTAAAAGTACCCTTATTACCTGAGCGCCATGATTTAAGAGACCAAGAAAAAAGATTTTTAATTAACAAATAAACAGTGTCTCTCACATACACTTAGGAATGTGTGTTTTTAATCAGTGGGTCTGAAAGCTCACTGCTTCCACTTTGCAAACGAACAGTGGACAGACGCCTGCGACCCACCCTGACAGGTTCCATTTTCCTCACACGCTTCCTTTTCTGCAGCTGTCAGCATAGCAGGTTTGGAGAGGAAGAGGGCTGGAAAGAACCACAGCTGCTCCCTAGTGAATAACTTAACACAGTAACACCTGGTTTTCCATTTGCATTACACATTCACAATCGCTCACTCCCACTTACTTTACTGATGAATTTCAGACTCTCTCCACACCTAGCATGATTTGCCTGAACTTAACAGTCCCCTAAGACAAAAGAAAAAAAAAAAGTCTCCTAAGGACACAGAAGAACATGTGACTCCCACCCTGCCGCGCAGCGGGTACTGTTTACATTAAGTGGAAACGGGGCAGAGCAAGGCCTCGAGGACCCCCTAACATTACCTAAAAATTACACTGACCACTTCACAGCATGAAATCAGACAGAAAAATCCACTGTTAGCGTGGCACTAGCTCTATCAACCACAGGAAGCATTTTTCACTCTGCACGTGACTATGAGGAGATCCTGGGGCGCCGAGTGCCCCTCACTGGGTCCCAGCTGAGCTTCACCCCGGAAGCTGGAGCCACCAAGAGGGGCCCGCAGGCCTTGTCTGCAGCGCCGTCGCGTCTGTTAGGGGCACAGCAGACCGAACGCTGCTGTCCGCAGGGGACAGCGTGGCTCTCCCCGCCTCCACCACCGTAGACGAGGCATTATCCCCGCACAGAGTCCCCGCCGTGGCTCCGGGAACCGCGTCGGGGCAGATGGAAGCCGTCCACGGAAACCGGAGTCACGGCGGAGGCTGAGCTCACGGCGCTTGGCAGGCGTCGGGCGCTTGACATAATCTGGGTGGATTCAAAGGAAGTATCTAGTTTGTTCTTTCCAGTATTGGAAGAAAAAAAGACCGTCTGCCACTTTCTTTACTCAGACACCGCAGGGATGGGCGGAAGGTTCTAAGGAGCAGGGGCTGGGGAGCGCGGGCGGTGGGAGGCAGGGCCCGGGCCTCGAACCCTGGTCACCGCCCCGTCGCTGGACCGGTTCAGCCGAATTCGCACCGACCTCGGGAACATCTTCAGTTGACTCCAGCTCCCCGACTGTCGCTTCCACTTGAACAGTGGCATCAGAGGGACGCAGGCCACGGCGGCAGCGGCCAGGTTTTGGCGCCATTCCCTACTCCAATTCAGCTTAGCTTGGCTGGTGTCGGGGGTCGGGGGCACAGATGTCCTTGCCTTTTTTTCTTTTAGAGATGGAAGCTCACTATGTTGCCTAGACTGGTCTCGAATTCTCGGGCTCAAGAGCTCCCCCTGCCTCAGTTTCCCCGAGTAGCTGGGACTACAGGCACGAGCCACCACACCGGCCTTCACTGCTTTTCGCACTAGTCCTAAGGCACTGGCAGAATCCCGCCAATTCTCACGCCAGCGAAGTCCTAAGAATGAGTCAAGCTCAGCCCCCTCTCAGAATGACCCGGTCGTCATCCGCCTCCGCCTCCTGCTCTTGCCCCGAGTATCCTCTCCCCTTATGGACTCCCAAAAGACGTGTTTTCCAAGTATACTGTTAACTCCAACAGTATGTTTTGAGAGAAACAGTACGTTTCTCTCAAAAAAAAAAAAAAAAAAAAAAAAAAAGCCCTCCACTCCGTTTTGCCTTGTGAGAAAATTAGAAAGTATTCTGAAACCCCAAAACACCTATCAGGAGAGCCTCGGAAGCCTGCGGAGACAGTCACCAGATGCCAGGGGTCCCAGGCATTTTGCCAAAGCCTGCACTTGGAACTGACCACGAGGAAGGTACCAGAACCGAAGCCACCGCTCCCAAACCTGCCGTCCATGGCCTGGCCTTCCCGGAGCAGGCGACAGCAGAGCCAGCCTTTTTTTTTTTTAAGGCATTTTATATTGTGGTTTGGGTTTTTTGTTGTTGTTATCTTGAAAAAGATTTAGGGAATTACAAGACTTTAGGTCACAGGAAACACAAAAGGAGGTGGGAATTTAAACACACAGGAGGGAGCTCAGCTCCCCACAGACCGGCCCCGGCGGCACCGCCGTTGACTGAATTAGCACCACTTCTGTGCAGTGAAGACCCCGCGGCTGAAATTCCTTAAATCTCACTTTGCATCCCGGGACATTTCCACGCTCTTCTTCTGAGGCACTGACCCACGGATGGGGAGCTTCCCTCCCTCCCATCCCAGACAGCTGCTGCTTTCTGGCGGCCTCGTGGCCTTTTTATCTCCTCATCAGATGGAGACTTTGGGGAAGCATCACAGCAGCAAAGCAGGACAAACACTCCTTTCAAAAACAGCTTGAAATTAAAACACAAAGATCTCAGTCATTATGAGATGCAGTGATTTTTTTTTTCTTCCCTGGACTTGGAGGTATCTCTAGGTTAAACTCCTCTGGGGCTAGAATGACATGAAGGGCAAGGCCGCTGGGCTTGGCCAAGGTAGCTGGGGGCAGTGGAAGAGCCTTCTGACCCCAGCACAGCCTGCGGAGTCATGCGAGAGGTCGGGGGCAGGGCAGTGAAAAAGCTGGTCCCCCTAACCCTAACCCTGACCCCAGCCCAGCCTGCCGAGTCATCTGTGAGTTCAGGGGCAGCGGAAGAGCCGGTCCCCCTAACCCTAACCCTAACCCTGACCCCAGCCCAGCCTGGAGAGGTTGGGGGCAGGGCAGTGAAAGAGCCAGTCCCCCTAACCTTAACCCTAACCCCAGCCTGGAGAGGTCAGGGTCAGGGCAGCGGAAGAGCCAGTCCCCCCAACCCTAACCCTAACCCCAGCCTGGAGAGATCGGGGTCAGGGCATCGGAAGAGCCGGTCCCCCTAACCCTAACCCTGACCCCAGCCCAGCCTGGAGAGGTCGGGGGCAGGGCAGTGAAAGAGCCAGTCCCCCTAACCCTAACCCTAACCCTAACCCCAGCCTGGAGAGGTCGGGGTCAGGGCAGCAGAAGAGCCGGTCCCCCTAACCGTAACCCTGACCCCAGCCCAGCCTGGAGAGGTCCTGGTCAGGGCAGTGGAAGAGCCGCCCAGCCCCAGCCCCGCCTGCCGAGTCAGCATTCATCCGAGAGGTCGTCGCTGCCCAGGAGCTCCGTGGCTTCGAGCTCCACGCTGGACAGAAACCGCCTCAGCGTCTTGCGGCAGTTGTAATCCAGGGTGGTGGTGTAGATGGTCTTGGGGTACTTGCCGTAGACGATGGTGGTGCTGAGGAAGCGTGCGGGCTTGTGGCGTGGCTCCAGGCGCACCTCAGCCTTGTAGTTGCGCCACGTGCAGTTGGGGAGGCAGGTGACTGTCTGGCTGCAGGAGGCCACGGCCAGGCCCAGGGGCAGCTGCACGCCGTCCACGAAGTGTCGCTCCGAGTCGTACATGACCGAGGACGTGTACCTGACGGGAGATACAAGGCCCCGTGAAGCCGCTCCTCTAGCCAGGGGCTCGGGGTCCCTACCGTGACCTGGAGTCATCTGTGGCTGCACATGCAGAAGGTGGCCACTCCAGGGAGCAGCAGCACCCTAAGTGTTTTCATGGGGTCTAGAAAACACTGTATGCCAGGAACTCCTCCAAGTCCTTTCCAATTTAATCTTCCCAACAAGCCTGAGAGAGGAACCGAGGTGCGGAGACGCAGGCCACGGTGCTGCTGAGGGGTGGCGCCGGCATTCAAATGCAGGGTGAAGGCTTCCAAAGCCCACCCCGCATCCCTTCAGCCACTGCGGGCAGCAGCCCTGGGTCCCGCTCCCACTCACATAAGCTAAGACCTCCGCCAAGTCACTTCACTCCCTCAGCCTCCGTTTCCTTTCTGTAAAGGATGCCTGATGATAAACGGGTGGAGTGGTCCACAGAGCAAGGCACGTGCTGTCACTCTAACTCCTATGTAAGGAGGTGGATTCCACTGCCTCACGGGTGGGAGCCAGTTTCTCTGTCTCCTCCAGGGATCAATCAGCTCTTATTTATCTATCTATCTGTCTATCATCTATTTTTTGAGATGGAGTCCTGCTCTGTTGGCTGGAGTGCAGTGGTGCGATCTCAACTCAGTGCAACCTCCGCCTCCTGGGTTCAAGCAATTCTCCTGCCTCAGCCTCCCAGGCAGCTGGGGACTACAGGCACCCACCACCACACCTAGCTAATTCTTGCATTTTTAAAAGTAGAGATGGAGTTTTACCATCTTGGCCAGGCTGGTCTTGAAATCCTTAGCCTCAGGTGATCCGCCCTCCTCAGCCTCCCAAAGTGCTGGGATTACAGGCGTGAGCCATCGTGACCGGCCTCATTTTTTTTCTCTCTCTCTTTTTTTTTTCGGTTGTTGTTGTAGGTAATACTGCTATTTTTTTTTTCTTTTTTTAAAAAAAGAGAGGTTCTCACTCAGTTGCCCAGGTTGGAGTGCAGTGGCATAATCGATTCACTGTAGCCTCAACCTCCCAGGCTCAAGCAATCTTCCCACCTCAGCCTCCTGAGTAGCTAGGACTACAGGCGTGCACCACCCAGATAATTTTTGTCTTTTGTGTAGAGACGGATTTCACTATTGTTGCCCAGGCTGGTCTCAAACCATCCTCTTGCTACAGTCCCCCAGAATGCCGGGATTACGGGGGTGAGCCACCGTGCCTAGCCCGGAGTTAGTTTTCTTTTTTTTCTTTGAGCTGGAGTCTCACTATATTGCCCAGGTTGGAGTGCAGTGGTGCAGTCTTAGCTCACTGCAACCCGCACCTCCAGAGTTCAAGTGATTCTCCTGCCTCAGCCTCCCACGTAGCTGGGACTACAGGCATGCACCCCCACATCTGGCTAATTTTTGTACTTTTACTAGAGACGGGGTTTCACCATGTTGGCCAGGATAGCCTCGATCTCCAGACTTCGTGATCTGCCTGCCTCGACCTCCCAAAGTGCTGGATTACAGGAGTGAGCTGCTGCACCCGGCCCGGAAGTTCGTTTTCTTATAGAAGCAAAGCTTTCAGGCATTTTACTGAATTACTATGGCTCTGTAGATACCGAACTGTGTACAGGTGTCACATACAGACACATCTAACAGCACTGCCCCTAAGCAGCCCCTACCCATGGCTGGGTGAGTAAGAATCAGAATTCTTTTGTGAGTCAGATGGAAAAGTCTCGCCTCCTCAGGTAAGTGGTGAAGGGCCGGTGGGAGCAGACGTCATGAAGTCCCGGCCCCATTTTGTTCAGAATTCAAGCCTCACAGGCACAGAAGTCCGGGCCGCTCACCTCGAAACGGATGAACCTCTCCTTTGTTCCATGTCAAAGAGCCTTTGTGTTAACGCAACTGAAACTCCAGCTATGAAACCACCAGGTACCAAAAGTAAAACTCCTGTCTCTAAAGAGGCCTGTCCTTAACCGAGCCTCTAAATGCATCTTTGCCCCCAGGTAGTCCTGAATGAGATGGTTCCCAGGGGAAGACCCGCACCTGCCTAGTGAAACTGTACCGTGGGACAAGGTTGCACTACCTCACAGAGGGGTTTGCAGGTCAGGGAGTCGGGGGCAGCAGCTTCTGGAAAGAATAATTAATTTCTGACAGAAATGTAAGCCTCATCAGGCCCCGGTATGTGATGTCCAGAATAGAAGCTGCAGAGCTCTGCACATAACACGATCTCATTCCTACTGTAAGAAGCATGTCTCTAAGTGCACTGGTTAGAACGCAGGGAAAAACGAGGGCCCACCAAACTATCAATCGCCTTTGGCACAGTTCTGCAATTAACTAACGCTTTTAATAACAAGCATTAATATCTCGAATGAAAAATGAACTGTTAAGAACAGAATGAAAGTGGGGCCTGCTGTATTTCTGTATTTACCTTACTTCCTTTGGTGGTAAGGGGTCAAACTCCACTCCTTCGCCAAAGGACAGGGGGCACAGCCTCAGTGCACAGCTGGGAGGCAGAGGCAGAGACGCTGGATTCTTAAGGACAGAGAAGAAGGCAGTTAGAGCTCTTGTGGGCCCTTTCTTCCTTCCTTCTTTCTTTCCTTCCTTTCTTTTTCTTCCTTCTCCTTCCTTCCTTCCTTCTTTCTCTCTCTCTCTCTCTTTCTTTTTTATTCTTGAGATGGAGTCTCACTCCATTGCCCAGGCTGGAGTGCAGTGGTGTGATCTCGGCTCACCGCAGCCTCTGCCACTCAGGTTCAAACGATTCTCCTGCCTCAGCCTCCTGAGTAGCTGGCAGATTACAGGCATGCATCACCATGCCTGGCCAATTTTTTTGTATTTTTAATGGTGATGCGGTTTTGTCATGTTGGCCCGGCTGGTCTTGAACTCCTGACCTCAGGTGACCCGCCCACCTCCGCCTCTCAAAGTGCTAGGATTACAGGCGTGAGCCACCCGGCCTGGCCCCCGAAGGCCATTTCGAAGCATGGCCAACAGGAGACTGTGACTCTGAGCCTCCAGCTGATGGGCCTGGCTGGGATCTGTGTCCCCCCTGCTGGGCATGCCAGAGAAGCACTGGGCAGGGAGCCGAGAGATCTGGGTTCAAATACCAGGCTGACCACGACTGTGCCGTGTGCCTCAGAGGAGTCACATTGCATGCCCTGTGACCGTATCAGCACAGCAAGGCGACACCCCCTTCCCCTGCTGAGGTTGTGGGAAAGGAGCTTCAGCCAGCCGCCGCCCCCGGCCACGCGGTGGGAAACCTTGGTGAGCTGAGGCTCACCTCGCCAGAACCCTCCATTCCATAGCGCTCTGTCTCAATAACACTCTAGGAAAGGTCAAAACAAAAAAGATGCCACCAGGGAACTTTCTGCTTTTCAACTGAAGATTCAATCTGGCCAAGGGCAGTGGCTCACACCTGTAATCCCAGCACTTTGGGAAGCGGAGGTGGGAGGATCCCTTGAGCCCAGGAGTTTGAGACCAGCCTGGCCAACATGGTGAAACCCTGTCTCTACTAAAAGTACAAAAATTAGCCAGGAGTGGTGGCAGGTGCCTGAAGTCTAGCTGCTGGGGAGGCTGAGGCACGAGCATTGCTTGAACCCAGGACGCAGAGGTTGCAGTAACACGACATCGTGCCCCTGTTCTCCAGCCTGGGTGACTGAGACTATGTCAAAAAAAAAAAAAAAAAAGACACCAAATGTTCTTCCTGTCACCCTCCACCATCCAGCATGCTCAGCGAAGCCGAGCACAGCAGCAATTCCGGCCGGGTCACTGTGTGGGACTCTGATTAACCAGGAAGGTTCTAGAAGGCGGTGCTGGCTTTCACCAGGTTGCAGGAATCCGGGCCTCTGTGTTAAGCAGGCAAAGTTAAACATGGTGCAGAGTCTGAGCCCAGAAGCCCTTTGGTGACCAGGGATCTCATTTTCTTTACCTAATTTGAGATAAGGATGTGCATTTGGGCCAGGGTGTGGAGTTAGCAGCCCCACCCCAGCGTCTCCATTTCTAGAGGCAAACATTTCTAGAAGGCTAGAAGGTTGGCTCTGAGACCAGGACTAGGTGTCAAAAGGGGGTTGGGATTGCGAAAGCCAAGGGGGCCCAGGATGGGAGAGGCAGAGGGTCCTGAGAGTCCAGATCCTGGGCCTGGGTGGAGGCTCAGCAAGGCCGGGGTGGAGGAGGGGCTGTGGGTGGGAACCAAGGTCAGTGAACTGTGTGTGTGGGGGTGGAGGGTGCATCGTGTGTGGAAGGACGAATTATGCGTGGGAGGGTGAACTGTGTGGGGTGAATCGTGTGTGGGGGTGAATTGTGTGTGGGGGTGAATTGTGTGGGGAGTGAATTGTAGGGGGGTGAATCGTGTGTGTGGGTGAATCGTGTGTGTGGGTGAATTGTGTGGGGAGTGAATTGTAGAGGGGCGAATCGTGTGTGTGGGTGAATCGTGTATGTGGGTGAATTGCGTGGGGAGTGAATTATAGGGGAGTGAATCGTATGTGGGGGTGAATCGTGTGTGGGGGTGAATTGTGCGTGTGGGTGAATTGTGTGGGGGATGAATTGTGGGGGGTACATAAGGTGTGGGCATTAGCTTCTGCAAACAGTCCCTACATAGTGACAGCAGGCCCTGCTCCCCCCACCAGCTCTCTGGCTGCCAGACCCTCCCCAACAGAAGCGGGCACCTCCCAGGCGTCCCCATGAGAAGGTGGGTGCTTCTGTGAACGCAGCACCGCCTTCCAGGCATCCCCAGGGCCCTCAGTTCTCTCGCCTTCTCTGCTTCCACTCCTGCCCACCCTGAGCACCGCCTTTGCTCCAGGCTGGGGCTGGGGTCACGGGGCGGAGGTGCAGAGAGGGGGCAGCAGACACATGAACGAACAGCCACTGTGGGATGGGGACGCAGCTGTGGACGCTGGCGAGGCCCTGGGGAGCATCAAGGGAAGGCGGAGGTGACGCAAGCGGGGCACTGAGGGACTAGCAGGACTCCTCCGGGGAGATGCCTTGGGCGCGCGGGCGGAGGGCACAGTGGAAACGCGGGGGTGAGCGTCCTGCGGCTGGGGTAGGTGGACGCGGTGGGACGGGGGGGCACTGACGGCCGAGCTGAAGCAGCCCCGCCTGGGGATGGACGTGAGGACCCCGCCCTGATGCCCACCCAGAGTCAGGGTGGAGCGCGACACCACCAGCACCGCGGAGCCCCCACAGGGTCACCAGGAACAGTGGGGCGCCGCCAACCTCACCCGGGGAGGGCTGACATCCCACCCGTGGCTGCAGCCCCCTTCGGGCGTCGCTGAGACCGCGGGCAGGATGTGGGTTCCGTGGGTTCCGCAGCGACACCGGCGTCCGAGCGACTCCCAGGGCTACAGATTAGGGGGAGGTTTTTCCTTCTATGAAAACTTTAAAGTAAAATAAAAGGTTCCACCGCCCAGAGGCCTCCCAGCCATCAAGTTCCCGGGGTTCCGGCAAAGAGGGGCCTCGAGGCCGCAGCTGGGGCGGGACCTTTCGGGAAAGGTCAGGGAGGCGGTCTTCGCTCTGGGGTGGGGATCGCGGGGCGCAAGCGCTGCGGGGAGGCCGGGAGGAGGCAGGAGCCCCAGGAGCCCAAATCGCCGGGTGTCGGCCAGGGTCGGGGCGGGCAAGGGTTCCCTCCAGGCTCCCCCAGCAGCCCGGCGGCCGCCACCGAAGAGAGGAGACCGCTCTGCGCTCCCGGGGCTCCCGCGCCTCCCGGGCGACGACAACTTTCCAGCCACCGGCTCCAGCTGGCTCCCGCCCCCGCTCCCTGCAAGGAACGCGCTCCCGACAGAGCTCCGAGACAAGGGATCCTGGGGTCCCACAGAGCTCCGAGACCCGGGTTCCCGGGATCCCACAGAGCTCCGAGACTGGGAATCCCGGGCCCGACAGCCGCCGCGTTCGGGGAGCAGGAGCCTGCGGGGGCCACTCACCGGAGCCGTGGGGGTCGCCGCCGCGTCGGGCTCCAGCGCCCCCGGGGCCGGAGCGCGCTCCCCGCCGCCTCCGCCGCCCGCGGCCGCCGCGAGCCCCCAGTGGCTGGGGCTGGGGCTTGGGGGGAGCCCCGAGTCCGGGCTGTCCAGGACGCCGTCGCCCTTCTTCTTCGTGTCCACGAGCTCCGGCACATCCTGCAGGCTCAGCCGGCCCACCATGGCGGCGCGCGACGGGACCCGAGGCACCGAAGCCGGGGTCTTGGGCGAGCGAGGGGCACAGACACGGGCCGGGGCCGCTGCCCGCCCGGCCGCCCTCTCGCCCTCCCTGCCCCGCTGCCCGCGCGCCGCCCGCGCGCCGCCCGGGTCTCGCCGCCGCCCGCCGCGCCCCGCTCTCCGCCCCGCCCCTCCGGCTCGGCCCCGCCCGCCGCCCCGCCCCCTCCGGCTCCGCCCCGGCCCCGGCCCCGCCGTCACCGGTGGGCGAGAAAGACCCCCAGCCCGGCCTGGCCACCCCACCCGCTACAGGTGGACGCGGGGACCCGCTCGCGCCGGGGCCCTGGGGGCGCGTTGATCCCTTGCCCTGTCCCAGCGGGACCCAGGAGGCGCTAACAGCTTCAGACCTGGCGGTTAGGGGGCGGGGGGAGCAGGAGCCTGCGGAGGTGCAGAGGCCCGGGGAGCCCGCGAAGCAACAACTGGAAATTATTAATCGTTAATGCGCTTCATATGGCCGCAGCCGCCTGTTGGCTCAGCAGGGCGGATTCTGGCGCTCATGCCTGTCCCGGAGGAAGGGGGCCTTCGCGAGTCCTCAGGGGGCTCCGCAGGCCCCGGTCACCCCCTGGCCTGGGCGCTCAGCTGGACACCCTGCGGCTGGCTCGGACCCCGCCTCCAGTGGACAAGTGGACACGCCTACAGTGTCCTCCTGCACGTGGACAAGCCAGCAGGTTGACCGTGGGCTGCATGTAGGGCCACGGGCCGCCCAGCAGGGGCCACAGCTTTTCACTCACTGGCCAACCACGCTGCCACCCCCGCCCCCAGGAGAATCCCTTCTGAAAAAGAGACAGGATTTCTCCCCTCCCCTTCGGTCTGACCACGAAGCCTCATTCCCAGTGGGAACTCTCCTCCGTAGCTGTGGGTGTAGGGCTGTAGGTTTTCTCACAGATCTGCGAGGTCTGCAGCAAGTGCAGGGAGTCCCCACTCCCACCCGCCACCCTCCCCAGGGGTTCTGATGGCATAAGCTGAGGGCCTGGAGCTGGAGCCTCACTCAGACCCACAGGGCAGATCCGAGGAGGCCGAAAGCCCTGGACGTCCCTGGCTGAGACAGTGGAAGCCCAGTCCACATTCTCACAAAGATAAGGGATATCTGTCCTGCTTAAATTCAGAGACTCAGAGCAGTTAGATCTTAGAGACTGGCTGGCAAAGTTCCGTCCTCTTACCTCCCTTGCTGTCACTTTTATATAAGGAACCAGGGATTTCACTTGTCCCAAGTCACACAGGTGATCCAAGACAGCTTGCTGCAAACAGAAAGCCAGCATCATCCCTCCACGAAGGAAAAACCTGGCACCTGCCTGTGTGCTGGGAGGTGGTTCATTCATTCAGGGCCTGCAGGATAGATGACAAAATCTGTAACGCACAGTCCTGGTTAAACCGTCCGTGCAAGTGTTACCAGGAAGGGGTCCCGACCCAGACCCCGAAAGGATTCTTGGATCTCTAGCAAGAAAGAATTCAGGGCAAATCCATAAAGTGAAAGCAAGTTTCTTAGGAAGGTAAAGGAAGAAAAGAATGGTTAATAGATCCAGCAGCCCGGAGGAGTGTTATTTATGCCTCCCCTTTTTAGAGCATAGAGGGTAACTTCCTGACACTGCCATGGCATTTGTAACTGTCACAGCGCTGTGGGAATGTAGCAGTGAGGATGAACAGAGGTCACTCTCATTTCCATCTTGGTTTTGGTGGCTTTTAGCCAGCTTCTTTACTGTCAAACTACAATGAGGAGGGAGCCAGGCACAGTGGCTCGCACCTATAATCCCAGCACTTCAGGAGGCCGAGGCAGGTGGATCACTTCAGGTCAGGAGTTCAAGACCAGCCTGGCCAATGTGGTAAAACTCTGTCTCTACTAAAAATATAAAAATAAGCCAGGCATGGTGGCACACACCCGTAGTCCCAGCTACTCGGGAGGCTGAGACAGGAGAATCACTTGAACCTGGGAGGTGGAGGTTGTAGTGAGCAGATCTCCAGCCACTGTACTCCAGCATGAGCAACAAGAGAGAGACTATCTCAAAAAATATATACACATAATAAGGAGGGACGTCAGGTTTGTCCACTCTTGTCCAGCCTGTCCGACTGGGGGCCACATGGTGCCGAGGGGAACCCAGAGAGCACCTGTGGCTTGGCCAAGGCACCTCCTTGAACTCAGCATTTCAGCCTGCCCGAGCCCTTCTGGGTGGGAGGGACGGCGATGCTCTCCTGTCCCTCTGTAAGAACCGTGCAGCTCAGACCCTGGAAGCCAGGACTGCATCCACAGTCCTCAACAGTGAGTTCACACAGCTCATCTACTTTGGATTTTCTGAACAGCCTTGCTCCTGGGCCCATCCTGCATCTTATCTGGATGTTTCCCAAAGGAAACTGCTTAAAGAAACTGAAATCAAATCCTGGGAAAGGGCCCATTCTACCTTTGCCAGCTGTGAAGACAGGACTTGTCTTGAATGACAGCTAAGGTGCACGTAGAAAGCAGGGGTGAGTCGGGAGGAAGGAGCAGGCCCCAAGGAGACCGGAGGCTTGAGCCAGGCAGGCCTCTTCTCAAAGCTGTCCCTCCAGAGCGGGGCGCCAGCCCCCCACCCCCGCCTGGGTCCCAGAGATGCAGTGTCCTCAGAGCACTTGGCTTCTGGCTGGAGGCCTCTCCCCACGGGGTCTGAGAAACAAACAGTGCCACACAAGGAATGTCAATCCCACAGCTTTGTCTTTTCTGCACTAAATGAAGCCGATGCCCAAACGGGAGGTAAGCCAGACCAGAACAGCGCAGGCCTCCACACTGCTGCTGCACGTTCTTCAGTTAGAAGAACAGCCTGTCTTCAGTCGGACATCGGATCAAACATGCAGGCCCCACGTGCTGGCTGCACCCCATGCCTGTCTTCAGTGAGCCCCACCAGACGGTAGATTAAAGAAACACCCGCGTCCCTGAGTGCTGGCTGTGCTCAGGTCTTGGGTTGTTCTGTGGCTCAGGATGTGTGGATTTGCTGTTGAACAAATTGGTCCTCTCTCTCTTTCATAGGCACCCCTGTCAACCAAAATGCTTTTTAAAAAATAGAACTTTACGGCTGGGCACGGTGGCTCATGCCTGTCATTTCAGAACTTTGGGACTGCTTGACCTCAGGAGTTTGAAACCAGCCTGGACCATACAGTGAGTCCTCATCTCGACGTTTTTTTGTTTTTGTTTTTGTTTTGTTTTTAAATAGAGACAGGGTCTTGCTCTGTCATACAGGCTGGAGTGCAGTGGCGCGATCATAGCTCACTGCAGCCTTGAACTCCTGGGCTCAAGCAAGCCTCCCACTTCTGCCTCCTGAGACGCTGAGGCCACTGGAGCTGTAAAGTTCTACTCTTGTGACCTATAATTTGTTTGTATTTTTATTGCTCTATTTTCATAATTTATAATTTTAACATTTATTTCTATTTTTGTGGAGACAGGGTCTTACCATCTTGAGTAGGCTGGTCTTCACCTCCTGGGCTCAAGCCATCCTCCCACCTCAGCCTCCCAAAGTGCTGGGATTACAGGTGTGAACTACCATGCCCAGCCATCTACAAACATTTTTTAAAAATTAGCTTGTCGACCATGTACAGTGGCTCACGCCTGTAATCCCAGAACTTTGGAAGGCCGAGGCAGGTGGATCACAAGGTCAGGTGATTGAGACCATTCTGGCCAACATGGTGAAACCCTGTCTCTACAAAAATACAAAAAAATTAGGCATGGTGGCACCCGCCTGTAGTCCCAGCTACTCAGGAAGCTGAGGCAGGGGAATCGCTTAAACCTGGGTGGCGGTGGATGCCGTGAGCTGAAATCATGCCACTGCACTATAGCCTGGGCAACAAAGCAAGACTCCATCTCAAAAAAAAAAAAATTTAGCCTGTCATCTGGTCACGGTGGGTCACTCCTGTAATCCCAGCACTTTAGGAGGCTGAGGTGGGCAGATCACGAGGTCAGGAGCTTGAGATCATCCTGGCCAACCTGTTAAAACCTGTCTCTAAGAAAGCACAAAAGATTAGCTGGGTGTGGTGGTGTGCGCCTGTAGTCCCAGCTACTCGGGAGGCTGAGGCAGGGGAATTGCTTGAACTCAGGAGGTAGAGGTTGCAGTGAGCTGAGATCACGCCATTGCACTCCAGTCTGGCGACAGGGAAAGACTCTTGTCTCAAAAAAAAAAAAAAAAAAAAAATTAGCCTGTCATGGTGGCATGTACTGCAGTCTCAAGTACTCCGGAGGCTGAGGTGGGAGAATCACTTGAGCCCAGGTCAAGGCTGCAGTGAACTGTGGCCATGCCACCGCACTTCAGTCTGGGCAGGAGAGTGAGACCTGTCCTAAAAAAGTTTTTAACAAAGAGCTTTTTTGTACCTTATTTTAGATTAAGGTTACAGTTTTCAAAGAGCATTGAAAGGGACCTGTCGTATTCAGTAAAGCAGTACGCTGAATTAAAAAGACACAGTCGGACACAACGAAGCCTGTTTGGGTATCTGCACATGTGCTGACGAATACCCCTGAGCCCCTGGGCCCCGAAAACACGGACTGAGACAGACAGGGGCAAAGGGCTGCCAGAGTTCTTGCTTTCAGGGCAGTGGGTCTGAAGGAACAGCCTTGCTTGTTTGTTTGGGTTTTTGTTTCTTTTCTGAGATGGCATCTCACTATGTTGCCCAGGCTGGAGTAAAGTGGTGTGATCTTAGCTCACTGCAACCTCCACCTCCCGTGTTCAAGTGATTCTCTCACCTCAGCCTCCCGAGTAGCTGAGATTACAAGCGCCCACCACCATCATGCCCGGCTACTTTTTGTATTTTTAGTGGAGACAGGTTTTCACCATGTTGGCCAGGCTGGTCTCCAACACCTGACCTCAGGTGATCCGCCTGCTCTGGCCTCCCAGAGTGCTGGGATTGTAGGTGTGAGTCACCGCGCCTGGCTGGCTTCTTTCCAGATCTCTCAGTTGGGAGACCACCAGTTTGTTGGAGACATGGGGTCTGGCCAAGCCCAGATGAGGACACAAACCCAGATGGCAAGTGCAGCTGGCATCAGTCAGCCCAGCGTGCCCTGTGTGGGCA